GTGCCGTGCGCCAGGGCCGGTGCCGGATGCTGACTGCTCACTTTTGTCCACAGCGTGAAGGTCTGGGACCTCCCACAGCAAACGGTGCTGCACTCCTACAGAGGTGAGTGCCACGCCGGCCCCATCGCCCGGCTCCTCCTGGCCCCTCACCGGTTGCTGCAGGCTGAGCTCAGTCCTGCAGCATCGCTGTTATCTCCCATCTGCCAAACCACGCTCGGGGCCGTGATCTGATTGCCAGTCTGTGGAGTTTCTGGCACAGCCTTATTTCTTTGTCTGTTGTTCATTTCTCCCCACAAAATGAATGTTATAAGGCTTGGTTTGCCTTGCATCTTTAAGTGTATTTTAGAGTATTTCTTCTGTACTAAAATCTTTCTTCAACCTGCATACGATCGTGTAGTCTCCTAACCCGTATTTGTCTTGAACAACAGCTCGTTGGAGATGCCGCTCTCTGGAGATGCGGTATTGTGGTCTCTAGCCACAGCAGAGACCGTACTTTGACCCTCTCCCCCCCCCGGCCCCTTGGTAACTGACCTCTTCTCTGGAGAGGCTTCCTCAAGCTTATGCATGTCACAGGGACTTGTCTGCAGTGGCTTTGGTTGGATTTGGCAGCTCATCAGTTTGGTAGGAAGCAGTTGGCTATTGCTGAGTAGAAGTTAACCCTGTATCTGGGCATGAACTATTCTTTGTTATACTGCTGTGCCTTCAGAGGTCCTTGGGAACATGTGGGAAAGTTGGATACAATCTTTGAGGCTCTTTATCCTTTTGTGCTTTCGGTAGCTCACTCCGGTTCCGTGACATGTGTGGCTTCCTGTCCTGGTAAGGACACTGTGTTCCTGTCCTGTGCAGAGGTAAAGCTCGCTCTCTGTCTAAATGTACCCGATAAAAGTGTTATTTTAGTTATTTACAGTTAAACGCACTTACTGAGAAACCACCTATTGTGTTACAAGCTGCATACCTGTGCTATTTCAATGTTCTGGTCTGATAAGTTGCCAGTCAGCTTACCAAGCTGATTTCTACAGGTTTGTATTAAAATGTGGGAGTTCCCAGCTCTGTCCTGGGGATGACTGAAGGAGCTAACTTGCAGCTAATGGCAGCATCATTTTAACACAAAGGAAGAGGTGGTGTGGGTTTGAACGTGGGTCAGTAGCAGTTCTGCAGTGTATCTGAGTTTATGCTCACCCCCTGCCACAAAGAAATTGTAAAAACCTTTTCACTCACTTTGGATTTATAGGACAGCAGAACTTTACTCTGGGACACCAGATGCCCAAAACCAGCTACTCGAATTGGTATGTTTCTGTATGCAGTCACTGCCTGTGTATGAGTTTTTGTTGGAAGAAATAAATTATTTTAGGCCTGATTTCACTATGTCTAACTTCAACTCTAGCAATCTGACCATTTGGGCAGAAAAGCCTATTAAAACCTAAGGAAGTCTAACACTATCACAGAAGTACAATAAGCTTTTAAATATTTGTCTTAGTGCCATAGCAGTGCTGACTGAGATAGTGTAGGAAATCTTTGTACTGACTCTTTTCACACTCATGCCAATTTATTTACTCGCAGTTTGCAGTGCCTGTAATCACCTCCCTACCTCAGTCATGTGGCATCCACAGAAAAGTGACATCTTTGCTTTGGGTAAGAAGTGATCTTATTATTTGACTTTCACCAGACAAATCAAGGTCTTTCTTTTCACATGACAATTTTGCTAATAACCTCATTCTCCCTTCCTCTCTTAAAGGTGATGAAAATGGAACAGTTGCACTAGTAGACACAAAGAATCCTGATTCTGCCCTCAGCTCCACTGTGCATGCCCGAAGTATCACGGGGTTTGCATTTTCTGCACATAGGTACAGTTGATATACTGGCATAGAATGTGTGACTACATACACTTAAAAGCCTTATTTGTTTTTAGAGTAAAACCTATGAGAGTACTAGTTTTGGTCTTTTTATCGAGAAGATTGATAGTGAAGAATAGAATAAACCAAACAATGTCTCACTTTTGAGAAGAAGTGTGTGAATGTACATGAGAACACTTTTGCAGTATTCAGAATTATTGACCCCATCACTGTGGGGATTTTTCTAATTACAGTCACCTCTGCTTGAAGAAGGATTACTTGCTTTCCAACGCCAATAGAATATTCTCGCTTAGCGTGCTGGCAGCCTTCCAAGTGATGATGAAAAAAATTTTGCAAGATTTGGTGTCTGTTAATTCACTGTACCTGGGTCAGGCTCACTAAGAAATGTGCTTTTCAAAAGGTTATCCCTAAGAAGCTTTCTTGTATTTGATTGTTCTAACCAATGCAATGTCTCATCTCTGTCCCCTAGTTCACCCTTACTGGCTTCAATCAGTGAAGACTGTTCAGTAGCTGTTCTTGACTCAGACCTCTCAGAGGTGTAAGTACTAGACAGAATGTATTCACTACTGTAGCTGTTTGTCTTGTTGATTTCTCATTAAGCTAATTTTTTATCCATATGCTGAGTGGAAGATGAAAGTACTCCTTAAATAGGGGAGCATCATCCTAACAAAGTAGCAGTTAGGAATTGCACAAGCCCATAAACTCTTGGTGACAATGCTTTATGGCTAATGGACTGTTCATGTTTTCCAGGTTCAGAAACCGTTCTCATCGAGACTTTGTAAAAGGCTTATCGTGGTCTCCTTCAGACAATGCCTTGCTCACTACAGTTGGATGGGATCATCAGGTTTTACATCACACTGTCCCCATACCAACTGGTGAAGCTTCTGGAGTCAACTGTGTAAAAGAATAGTTTTATAAACTCACGGTCCAAATTCCTTCCTGGCATT